ATTATTTTATTGACTCCGATATTAGGACAGAAGGAAAAAAAGTAGATACATAGATTTGAAGTAATGCTCCAGCATTTAATCATTTGTTCTCTTCTCTTTCATATTTACCCTGGCTGTTCTCACTCATTTTTGTGGCTTTCACCTAAGCCCTAGCCTCTCCCCTAAACTCCAGACTGCCCATTCAAAGGATTGTTAAACAGGCATCTCAAGCTTGGGATTTCCCTTCTCACAGTCTCCTCATCACAGGAAATAGCAAATTCCTTCTTCCAGTTATTCAAGCCCAAGTCATTGGGCTTGACTTTTCCCTTTCTTTTTCATTCTACATCTGATCGCTTAGCACATCCTATAATCTCCACCTTCAAAATATATGTAGAATCTTACCACCTGTTCCCACCTTCATCCTTATCACTCTGGTTTGTGGTCACCATCATGTCGTATCTTAATTAATGAAATTACTTCTTCCCTGCTACAGCCCTTGCCCTCTACGGTCTAGCCTCAAAACAGCTGCCTAAGGAATGCTGATAAAATATATGACAGATAATGCAACTCCATTACTCCAAATCCTCAGTGTTCCCTTAGTTACTCAGAGTAAAGTCAGAGTCTTTACAGTGGCCTGCAGGACCTCTGCAGTCATGGTATTGTACGCTGTTCTTCCCTCCTGTACACTTGGCTCCTGTGTCCTTACTAGCTCACTGCTCCCCCTGCACTGACTGTGTCCTGGAACAGTCTTCCCTCAGATATGTGTATGGCCCACTCCTCCATTTTCTTCACTCAGTTAGCATCGCCTCTGAGAAGTCTTCTCTGGCCACTGTCTCAGTAATTCAGCACTTCTGTTGACAGGTCCTATTCCTGTCCCTTCCCTGTTTTATTTTTCTCCTTAGCATTTACCACAATCTAACACACTGTGCATTCTATTTTTTCTCTTGTTTATTTATTAGAATGTAAGTGTCTTGTGGACAGTGTTCTCTAAATTTTTTCTCTGCTCTACCCTCAAGCGTCTAGAATTGTGTCTGGCACATAATAACACTCAGTTAATACTAGTTGAATGAATGAATAAAATGTTACTTTTTTTCGGGGGCGGAGCCAAGATGGTGGCGTGAGTAGAGCAGCAGAAATCTCCTCCCAAAACCGCATATATTTTTGAAAATACAACAAAGACAACTCTTCCTAAAATGTTACTTTTTTTCATGATCCCAAGCATAATGTCAGAATGAAAAATAGTAATACAAGAAAATGTATACCCATATGATTACAAGCTTATTGTATATAATAGAGTGGATTTATGTCTGAAAAAAATGTGTCAAACTGAATTTTTATAAATCAAAATATTTAGAGTGTGCTAGCAATGTTTCTCTTTCAAAGAATCTGTGACTGATCCTCTGTATAAAAAAAAGGACTTATCATTTCCCCCAAATGCAGCTTCTATAAATTAAATATTTTGTGTGTCCAGTTTTCTTACTTTCTTATCTATAATGTGTAAAAACAAACAAAATAGACAGCCTTTGAAGTTTACAATAACACTTTTTGATTCTTAAATAACTTAACAAGAAGCCTAATGGGAACTCTGAAAGACATTAATGAAACACTTAAACTGCTCTACATAGTTCTGTCTTTCTGACATCCCTCACCCATACCCACAAGACCAGGGAAAACCTGAAAACCAACGTGACATTGTAAAAAGTCCCCCTAAGAGGGCAGTATTGTCACCAGTGAGAATCACTGCTGTGTCCATGGGGTGCAACTCAGAGATACTTCCTCCCCCTCATCTTCCCTTCTTTTCTGTTGTGGACCTTAGTTCCTCTCATCAGCATGCAGGATGGAGGAAGAGGTCAAAGAGCAAATATCTTCTGCTGAACAGGAGTATGTCTCTGCCCTGGGTTGGCTGAAACTGCTACCTTAGCTTGTTGGTCTGTGAGTCTTCAGTCCTGCCCTTATATTCTGGTGAAGGTGAGGGTAGGGATGCTTGGTAATAAAGCCTGTGTTCTTATTTAATCCATCTTAGGACTTCCCATGGAGAGCTGGCCCAACCTGAAAGCTGAGAATATGAGTGGCTTAGGTAGTGGGGGGAGCGTGAGGGGTGGGCTTAGTGCCCTTGGCTGTCAACTCCGTGCTTTCATTCTGTGTTATTCTGGAGTATGCAAGAACAAATCTCCTTTACACTAGTTTGAAGAAGGGTAACTGAGAGAAGTGTGCTGGAGTGGAAAACACCGCAGACCAGAAAGCAAACACTGTAATACATATCCCCACTTCTTCCACCCATTGTGTGAAATGGGGTATTTCAATTAATTGGACCACCTTTAACTCATCTGTAAAATGGGATAAAGAGTAAATTAGATGATGTAATATCTGAGTCTTTTTAAACGCTTGATTTCATACACCTCGGAACACTTGGACTCTCCACGCAGATAATATACACTGCCCTTCGGGTGTCCTTGAAGGAGCTGAGAGTTTTGATCCTCACTCTGAATTTTCTCATAAATACAATTTGGCAAACATTCTCGACTCTTCCAAGATTCACTCCACCAAGTGAAGCCTGTTTTACTCAAGATATTGAACATGGTGAATCAGAGCATTTTAGAGTTAAGAAATCACTTGTTAATAAAGAGAAGTTGGGTGCTTTGCAGTAAGTCAGGGTATTTGTCTATGTCTATGTCAGGTGACCATTTATGATATAAGTTGCAAGTGACTTTATCAATACTTTATAATTCTCTTCTGTATACCAGACAGTATGCAGAACTATAGGCACTAGTCAGGAATAAAAGTTATGAAAGACATGGATGCTCTTGTAAAGTTCCATAGAATCCACAGTGTCTTAGATTTCTTAGAAGCAGAACCTAAGACAGGGATCCTCATTTAAGTGATTTATCGAGGGTAAGCTTTCAGGAGAAACCTCTAAAGGAAGGAGAGCAGGATGAAGCAAGAGAAGTTAGGGAAAGTGCAGTTTCAGAAGTCTAGCTTCATCCTGAACCCCTGTGGAGCTCTGGAAGGTTCTCAGTCATGTCAAGGTTTTTCAGCCCAATGGCAAGGGGATGGGCTATTAGAATCCTACTTTAGCCAATGATTTGCTACAGATTAACCCTAGGGGCCGGTTGAGGGCCTAATCTCCGAGACATCACCACTTGAAGTTGTCCCCATCAGCCAACGACAAACCTATGCAGGTTTCCCCCTGGCAGTCAGCACCCACAACTCCTGGGACCTGAAAAGCCAGCCCTGGAAAGGGGCATCTGAGCAGGGTGGCAACAACATCTGCTACATGTGGTCTTAAAGGAGCCAAGCCCTGTCCATGTGATATCCTTTCAAACCCTTATAAAGCCACCTGTCAGCAAGTGACATGTAAAACAGCACAGCCTGAAAGTCCAGAGGCAGAGAATAAGCCAACATGTACTGAGCACTTGCTCTGGGCTACATGCAGTTACACAATCTTTATTCGTCTCAGGAAATCTGCAATGTAGGTAGTATTACTGCTTCTATTGCCTAGTAAAGTAAGGCACAGAGAAGTTAAGTAACTTGGTCAGGGCCACACAGCTAGCAAGTGCCAGTGAATGATCATTTCATTGGCAATAATATGGTAGTGCTTCTCTGGAACAAAGAAAACAAAATTCCAGACCTTATCCCAAATCAAAGCCTCTTAGGTTGGGTTCATATTTTAACAAGTTCCTAAATTGATTCTTACACACACTGTGGTGCTACAGCTATTACCAAGTGCAATAAGTTTTCCAAGATGGAGAAAAGTCGTGCAAAGGACAATGTCAGTGGATAAAAATGATCAGAAATAGATGCACTTGGAGATTTCTATGGATAAAAATTATCAGAAATAAATAGATGCACTTGGAAGGGAGTTGGAGGGAAGGTGGGGATAAAATTAAGAATGGGCTCTTGAATACCAAACAATAATTACATAGGAAGCAATAAACTTTTTGTTGTCCCTATTATTTCTTAAAATAAGAACAGAACAGCAAAAAAAAAAGTATAGGAAACAATGACTTTGGGTACACCTAGGGTGTCCTTTCCTATCTCTGTTTAGGCATATCCCTAAAAATATGTTAAACTACTTCTTTCCAAGAGAAGAATAGGCTATTATAAAATTGGGAAGAGAAATAATATTTCTCAAAGCTTTTGTAAATGAAAACACTATAAAAATACAAGGAAATAAGTTAATTGCTGATGTATGGTTAGCAGAGTGTTCTTATGTAGATGTACAATGTTAAGTCATTCTCTGAAAGAGCATTGACCTGATAAAAATGTCATTATATTATATAAATTGGACCAGAGAGACAAAAGAAAGAAGGAGAGATTATAAGCATGATGCCAATTGGCTACAATGAAACACAATGAAATTCCAGACAGTTTCTTACAGGTTCCATCAGCTACAGAGCCTTCTCTCCCATTGCCCATTGATCTAATTAAGGAGAAGTGTTTGCTAAGAGTGCAGAAAAAATCTATTCTTTTAAGATATACATCCCTAGATTAGAGTCACTGAGTGCCCTTTATCCTGCTGCATGCTCATCATTGCCATCCAATCATTGCGACAGTTATATACAAATTCCAGATACTGTTTAGAGAAACACTTTTAAGTTATGTGCTCGTTTATTTTTTATTAACAAGGTTGTTTGTTTGCTTTATTTCCATTCTATTGGTTCATATTTCAATCCATTATTTATGAAGAATTTACAATGACACTTTTGGTATGCTTCTTTCTTAATACCAGATTAAGTACTCTAACAATTTAGGGGTTAATTGGCAGTCTTCAAAATGGCCTTAAACTAACTTATAAATCCTTTGGTGAACAGCTTTGGAGTTGGAGATGAGAGTTGGAAACCCAAATTTTTACACTGTGAAAAAAAAAACAGGGGAAAGGAGGAGCTTTGGGTACTTAAGATTATATGCTGACTATACTGACCTCTCCCCACTAACCTACTAGCTGGTATTTAGAGTCAAACGCTTGGGTTAATCATATTAGTGAAGATTATAAAGAAGCTTTAAAATCCCAGGTCTAGTATGCAGTGCTAGAATTGTTCAGAGAGCATTCATGAGAAATCGATTACCAGAAGAAGTTAAAACGAATAAACCAACAGTACACTTAGTAAGCAAGAACTGAGGGAGGGTTGGCCATCACTGACTTAAAGCAAGTCCCACAAATAAGGTGTGTGAACTAACTTTCTACCCTCTAAGCAGGCAAAAGATGCCAGTGATCAATATTGAGGACCTAACAGAGAAGGACAAACTGAAGATGGAAGTTGACCAGCTCAAGAAGGAAGTGACACTGGAAAGAATGCTGGTAAACTGCTTTTATTTTTTGAGTTTCATTTTAAACTAGAGATACGGTAGGCCTACCAGGTTAGGAAACACTGAAGGAGAGCAGAATCAGCCTTCTGGCATAAGGATTATTTTAGGCAGAGTATTTTTAAGAAACAACAGACACAGGAGAAGCTCTGAAAATCGAATAGAGGTTTTCCTTTTGTAAGCATCATTTACATTTATAAGGGAAATCTCTGTTTGTGAGACTGTCTCCTTCTCTGTTCAAGGGAGAGAAGGCTGACTGTAAATCTCTAGAAACTCTTTCCCATAGAGAAGGCACCAGCTTAAAGCTGCTTAACCACCTGACCCTTGTTTGCTTCGTCCTCCCGGCCGCCTCCCATCCCTGGCCTTTCCCAGCCCGGATGTCCTCCTTTGCCTTTGCTGGGGAAGGTGTTTAAGGTGGAGGGCCTGGGCCGTCTCAGGGATTCCTGGGCTTTCCCGACTCTCCCGAGGAGATGGGAGCTCTACATGTTATTCAACTTCTATTGGTTTTTCTCCTGTTAATCTGCTTTTTTTTGACAGGGAGCTCTCAGCCAAGAACCTAGAAGGGTAGATGGAAAATTATTTTTCCTCCCCCACATGCTTCACTGCACAGGTTTAATGTAGTTGAAAATAAATTGTTCAGGTAAAAAATTTATCAAGGATTAAGTAAATGAATAATCACAATTATGTCTCGATTAGGCTCTATATCAAAGATTTGACAAACTGCTTTCCATGGGCCTAATCTCACTCTTAGGCTGGTTTTGTATGACCGTTAAGCTAAAAATGTTTTTTACAGTTTTAGTAAGTTGTTAAAAAAACCAAAATGAATATTATGAAAGAGACCATATTTTAGCTAAGCAATAAAATGAAGCAGTGCATATAAGCATTTTGTTTTTACTTTTCTAAATAGATAAGCTTCTCTTTGTTTGATGCAATATTTTGGTACTGTTCAAATACTTTTAGCCAAGACCTCATCCCCTCCAGCACTGCCATGGCCAGTAATGAATGAGAACTTTCTATTCCTTCTGTGCAATAAAAATGAGTTCAAGCACAAGAACTCACTGGTTCCTCCTAAAAACATCTGACAGACCTTGGAATGGTTACCAAGAGGTCTCTGCCATTAGGAGGAGGAGAAATGGCAAAGGAATAAAAGTTTCCACCAAACAAACCATGACTGAAGGTTGGAAAATGTAGATTATGATTTTAGATCTCTTCATTTTACGGACCATTAGAACAAAAACTCCTCCACAAGTGATAAGAGTAACATTTTATATTTTTTTAAAAACTAATTTTATCAGGCCAAAGCAAAAAAAAAGGAGTTTGTATTATCTTCATACTTTCTTCAAAACTCTTACTCCCAATAAAAATAGGAATTATGGCCTCATACATGTTTATAATTGCCTCAAACTTCCCTGTTGCCCTTCCTGTACAGGTAAAACATGTTTTGCTGTAAAGATAAAATTAAATCTGTAAACAGCAGAAAAGTTGGGGATGCAAATAAAGGCTAAAATCCTTAATTTGGGGAAAATGAAATAATTTTTTAGAGTAAGGGAAAGTTACTTTTTCTTCTTTACTTGAAATATCCAAAAGCTTTTTTATTATTTATGTTCAGGATTGTTGTCTCACTGGCAGTTGGGTTGTCACCATAGTTATGATTCACGAGTGGCAAGTTTATCTGGGAATTTTTATTTTGGGTAATTATCATATACATCAACATCTGTCAGGTTTGGGGTTCCTTTTCCTTATTAGTCAATCTCTCCTAACTCTTGGAAGTCAAACTAATTTAATATCAGGCTGCCAAAACTACACACCCACATGCACATACGCACACTGAGAACTTCTAGGTGCTCAACCCATTGCCCTGCCACAGGGTGCCATAGCATAGTGTCATTACAGTATGGCTTAGTGGACAGAGTGGAGCGAAACCCCAGATTCAGATTCTTACTCTACACCTTTTGCCCTGTCTAACACTCACCTAAATTATCTCACTTACCTGTGCATGTTTCTTCTATAAAATGGGTATAGTGACATCTATTTCAGAGGGCAGTTGGGAGGAATAAATGGGATAATACCTAAAAAGTCCTGAGAACAGCACTTAGCACATAGCAAGTACTTTCTACCAGTATTATTTTTCTTAATTATTATTAATGTCTATGAATCAGAATGGTTTGTTGATGAGAAAAATCAGTTATATCACCTTGAAATAACGACAGTGTTTTCTTTGAGCCCAAACTGCAGACTAGCCCAGGAGACACAGCTTCTACTATTTTAAGTGTGTCTGGAAAAGAATACAGTCATATGAAGTCTTTATATCCTTGAGGAGACAGGCAAGAGGGACAGAATTTCAAAGGGGTGCATTTCATTTGTGTAAGGTAGCAGTACACACAATAGTTGGTGAGGGTCGGGGTGGACATATATCCTGGCAATGAAAGGAAACAAGAGGAACAGCACACATTCTTGCTTATCTTTTGGCAGGAATCCAGATACCAATTGTTTATCTTTTATCTTAATTAACAGATTGTAGGATCAAGTTAGAGTTAGTTTTCATGGGCAGCCATTTTGAGACTCCCAGAATTAATAATTCTTTCAAAACTTAGGCCTTAGACCATTTTGGTGGCCTGTGGTATGGTGGTCAGCTTTTCTTTAGGTCACAGGTTCATAACATGCCTCTCTCTGTTTTGCTGTGAAGGCACTAGTGTTGTCAGAGTAAGATAACTCTTTGCATCAAGTTTCTAAAGCTGACAGGTTAGCTGTAGATCAATGTAATGGGCAGGGCAAAGACTGACTTTACTAAAGTCAGTCTTTATAGGAAGAGCTAAAAATAACTGCCATTTGATTAAGCATCTATTGTATGCCAGGCACTTAATATAACCAGTCTTGGTCCTCTTAATTCATAGATGAAATAAGTAATTCTTACATGAACTTACATTAACTAAGCACAAATTCAGCTAAGCACACAGAGCCAAAATTCAAATTGGGGGCAGCCTGAATCCAATGTCTGTACTTTCCACCATGCTGGGTAATCCTGTGTAAACTGCATATACTTATAATAAGTCTCACTGAATTAATTTTTGAACACCAACACTCACATAGGATTTTTGGTAATTTATTGCTCCTCATATCTCACATCCTAGTCAGACATTGTCAAAACCAACCCCTCATTGATTCCTGAATTAGAACAGCAATGTAAACATCTGTTCCTTGATATCTGGTTGGGGCCAAAAGAGCTGGTGTTTGGGGGAGTGGAAAAAAAAGTGAATCTAAATCTCAATTTTGAATTTTGAGGAAACAAAGTGAATCTACATATTTAGTAGCCACATGGCCAAACTGTGCCCCAGTGAGAGATGATTGTTGTAATGTGCAGATAATGGGTTAGCAGAGTTCTTAAATAATCTTGAGTCTTATGTCTAATGTTGCTTAGAATTTGCATACAAAACTGGCATGAAGATTTTATTAAAAATAAATTAAATAACTTATGGAATTGCCACTTAATTGACTGCTAAAATTGAATTTGTTTTGTTAATATTGTGAATGATACATATGTAGAAAGGAAGCAAGTTGAAAGTTAGAGGAAATGGATAATTTGATCCCATACATGTATATGCAGTGTATACACATGCACTCTCACACACACACACGCTTATATTTTCATAGTGTGGAACACTGCCACTCTCTGGAAGGTGTGTTAAATGGTACATTAACAGGCTTTGACTGAGCCGGTTAAAATACTAAAGCCTGATTTTTCACAAAGTCATTATTATAATGGTGCAGATAAGTCAGGAGCAAATTCATAAATGAAATGAATGATTCAGTTCAGCAAATATTTATTTACTGAGCACCAAATAAGTGCAAACTCTGTTCTAGATGCCTAGGATACATATGAACAAATCAGCCCAAGGGCCCTTGGAGTTCACCTTCTAGTGCACTGTCATAATCAATCACTGTAGATGAGTTTAAAAGAAAATTACCTGTGTATGCTTCTGAGAATCAAGGAGTGATGATAAGCCCAGAATTTAATGATTACTCATTCCCTTCCACTTTTCCAGGTCACATTCTTGGAACGAGGAAAAAGACTTAATCAGTGTTCACACTGGCATCATTCTTGACTTGTGTTGCCAGCTGTGTTCTGATCTCTGGATCTTGTCCCCTTGAAGGAATCTGGAAGTAGTGTGCTGAGGACTGTTAGCTGGAGTGTGGCCAGCTATTTAACCTTTGCCTGGAAAAGTCCCGGAGTATAGGGGAGGGGGCACCTAATTCTTCTTCTCTCCTAGAAAGTACCTATGCATTGGTAGGATGCAGAATCATACTAAAAAGATAAAACACAAAAAACACTTCTTATAGTAAATATATTTTTGGGTTCTGCAGTGTTTTGTATCAAACCAAATGAGTCATTTCTTTCTCCTTTTTTTTAAGGTTTCCAAATGTTGTGAAGAAGTAAGGGATTATGTTGAAGAAAGATCTGGGGAGGACCCACTAGTAAAGGGTATCCCAGAGGACCAAAATCCCTTTAAGGAGCTCAAAGGAGGCTGTGTGATTTCATAAGAAAAAAAAAATTCATGGAATATCTTGAGCTTTAATGGCAATATCAATTTTTGGTAATAATATATAATAATGCTATCAAGCATGTATATTAATTTTTAAATTTATAAACTTTTAATAAAAATTGGGATGTGATAATGCGTAAGTCTATGTTTTTCTTAAAGAATCTACTATAACATTTAGCACATAATTGACAGTAAATACTAATTGACCCTTCTCTTTAACAATAGTTACTATGTTTATGAATGAGTTGCTATTGCTCTACTTGCCAGCACACAGTTAATGTTTTATGTTTCTTTACTTCCCTTTCAACATTCATAATATTCCACCCAGAAATTTCATGGCTAGATTTTTACCAATGTATCTCTTGCTTACAGAACTAAGAAGTCTGTTCTTTGGATTCACTGAAGGTCTGTTTTGACAGAATGTGTGAAGATTTGTATTGCTGATGTTTTGTTTTGTGTTTCCCTTTCTCTCTCAACCCCCAGCCAGCAGTGATGGTTTTAACATAACCTCTTCCTACACTCTTACCAATAGTACTTGTCACCAATGATGTGATTTTTCCCCAGAATGCCAACTGAACTAAGTGTCAGTAGTCACTTCCTTAGTCTTCCTAATATCAGTTTCCTCTGCTGTAGGATAGAGATATAATGGTTCTCTCCCCCTTTTCATGGGGCTAACTATTATGCTAGGATGACTGTAGCACTTGGCATATTGTCTGGCAAAGAAAAAGACCCAATGAGTGTTAACAAATGTTATTACTGGGAAAGGAATATAAATTTATATAGACAAAATTTTCAGAATGCTTTTTTTTAGCATTTTTTAAATTAAGGTATCATTGATATACAATCTTATGAAGGTTTCACATGAGCAACATTGTGGTTACTACATTCACCCGTATTATCAAGTACCCCCCCCACCCCATTGCAGTCACTGTTCATCAGCTAAGTAAGTTGCTACACAGTCACTATTTGTCTTTGTGCTATGCTGCCTTCCCTGTACTGCCTTCCCCATGAACCCCTGCATTATGTGTGCTGATCATAATGCCCCTTAATCCTCTTCTCCCTCATTCCCCACCCCCTCCCCTTTGGTAACCACTAGTCCCTTCTTGGAGTCTGTGAGTCTGCTGCTGTTTTGTTCCTTCAGTTTTTGCTTTGTTGTTATACTCCACAAATGAGTGAAATCATTTGGTACTTGTCTTTTCTGCCTGGTTTATTTCACTGAGCATAATACCCTCTAGCTCCATCTGTGTTGTTGCAAATGGTAGGATTTGGGTTTTTTTTATGGCTGAGTAATACTCTATTGTGTATATGTGTCACATCTTCTTTATCCATTCATCTACTGCTGAGCACTAGGTTGCTTCCATATCTTGGCTATGTAAATAGTGCTGCAGTAAACATAGGGTTGTATGTGTCTTTTTGAATCTAGGATCTTGTTCTCTTTGGGTAAATTCCTGGGTCAAATGGTACTTCTATTTTTAGTTTTTTGAGGAACCTCCATATTGCTTCCCATAATGGCTGAGTTATTCAGAATCTAATGTGTTATTCTAGCCCCTCCCGGCAAGGACTCCCACCAGTACAGTCCTGTTGTCTGTATCAGTGTAAGGACAAGACGATAGAAAACATTCATCTTTTCATTCGTTTCCTCCTAGCATCTTACTGGGTTTGCATCAGCCAAATTTCACTACTTTTGTACTAATGACTAAGAGCGAACTTGCCTCTGCATCTGTAACAAATGACATTGTTCAGTACTCTAACTAGAAACTATTTTTGTTGTTAGTGTTCCCTTGTTGCCATCTCACATTTACAGTGCTATCTTTTGGATACATCAGTGATCAGAACAGTCAGAAAGGCTAATTGATTTTGTCATACTTTGAAAAACAAAGTAAGCATTATCTACTCCTTGGTCTGGAGGGGACTCTGAATGTCGTCCCAGGTCTGGCTCCCAGCACAGTGCCCTCCCACTCTGGCCACGGTAAATGCTCAGCAAAGATCAGCTGATCTTGTCCAATCCTTTCATTTGGGGATGGAGAAAATCAAGGCTCAGGGAAGTGAGCTGGCACATTCCTCAGGTCCAGACTCTGGATCTCTGACTGAATGGTTAGCAACACAGTCTGCCACTCATCAAACTTGGTGTGGCTATTAAGGGATTCCAGGATAAACTATTGGAGTCTCTTAGCAATTTTTCCCCAGGTTCTTTCCCCCTGCTCACAATTACAAAACCCACTTCCAACGGCTCCCAGCACTTGTCTCTTTCCCACTTTATTTTCTTTCATAGCACCAATCACCATTTAGCATATATATTTTATTTATTTGCTTGTTTGTTTAATTGTGATCTGTCTCTAGGGGTTTTCCATATGCAATTTAGTGTTTATTAAGAGTTCCATATTTCTTTATTTTCCCTCATTGAAAAATACAAAGTCTTGGCCATGGGATTTAATAACACATATAGTCCTAACAAACATCACTTACTTTCATCTAACAATTGGAAGTAGATTTTGGAGCCAGACAATTCCAAGTTAAAACCCTAGTTCATCCACATTGTAGTTGAGAATTTTGAACAAGTAATTTCATCTCTTCAAACCTCAGTTTTTTCATGTATAAAAGGAGGATTAGGATGGATCCTTATATGAATATTTAAAAACACTCAGATCAGAGCATATAGAAAAAAAATCTAATGAATGTCCTCTATAATTATGAACCCTGCAGACTTCCTGTAGTCAACAAACTTAACTATTAAATAATCCCTGATGTGACACCTCATTTTACTACCTTCTGGACTTTAGCCGTATAGATTTCTCCACCCAGAATTCCCTCTCATTTCAGCCTTTTGAAATCCTACTCCCCTTCTGAGACTTGCTGAAAACTGTCTCTTCTGTTTCTCCATCCCATTTTGTATATCTCTTAAGTCATATAACTTACTCTGCTTTCTCTTGTTATAAATTTTTATGGTTATCATAATCTCAATGTGATATTGTGTATTTCCCAAACCAGAAGCTCTATTTATTTTTGAAACTGCCATACCAACTAATAAATTATCTCTACAATTTAATTGACTTAGTAAGTATTTAATTCAACTAAAAGCAGGCAAAGACAGTAGTTTTTATAAGGGGTAATTCAGAATTTTTACTGGCTTACCTAATGATTAAAATCAACAATCTGATAAAGTTCCTCTTGCTTAAAAATACAGATTGCCAACAGAATTTTGAAGAAGATAAAAATCATAGGAAGGAAGAATAAAGATTGTCCAGAAGGAAGGAAATGAAATCATGACTGTCCCACAGCATACACAGCTACAACATTCAGTGAGTGTTTGTTTCAGATGTTGTTACTTCAGGGCCACGGATACTGGGTGAAGAGGAATGAGGCAAGACGATAGGGAAACAAAAAATACTCCAAGCATAGCCTTACCATTTGGCTCTTCAACAAAACTTCCTGATACCATTGCTGAGAATGGGTTAATTATTTATGCTTATTATATCATTTGAGACACTTACATTTTGAGGGATTTTATACAGACAGATGCAAAGTTTTAAGTTTTAGCAAGGATAAAAACCTCTCACTGTTATTTTAATTTGAATTGGTTTTATTTTAGCCAGATTTAAAAATAAGGCTAATTTCAAACTTCCCAAGTTCCTAAATGAATGAATTAACATGAAGAAAACAGTAAATTGAGTAATGAGAATGACCACTTACGTGTGGTGGAAATTAAAGTCTTGTATGAATAGAATTGATATAAGAAATCACTTTGATATCATGAATTAAGTTGTTGAGGTAAGGAAGCATCAGACATAGGTCATCCTGTGACTTCACATTATCTTCATCTAGAAATCTCCTGCATATAGTATCATGGAATGGATGAGTTCATGGAAACTTCCATGTGACTGTTACAATAAATTGAACCAAATAGCAAATGACCAAAAGTGCATCAAACCAAACTGCATTAAATATTTTCCTTAAAGAAATCATAATTTCAATAGCCTAAACAATCATTATTTATTTTATAAATTTTGGAAAAGCAGAATTTGGGAGGTAACCTAGTTTATTTATATCAACAAAAGAGAGGCAAAGAGAATCTATGTTTTATAAAAATCAAAGATAAAATAAGACAAAATCCTGGTCTTGTTTTAATTCAAGTTAGTATTTAAAGCAACTCCAATATAACTGTTCTCAATATTTTCTTACAGAGTTTTCTTTATATGGAGTTTTAACGATATACTTAATACGTCATAAAAATAACCAGAGTTGTTTTGACCATTTTTTGCATGGCATAGTAAATATTTCATTGTCTTTGGTCTTTCATAATTTAAAAGTGAAAATAAGCACATGATTAATTCTATTTTTCATAAGCAGATTTCTTTAAAACACTTGTCAAAAGCCAGTGGCCTTATAAGAGTTCATTTCTGATTACCTCTCATTTCACCTGTCATTTTCACTGCAGAATGGTTTCTACACATACTATTTTGCAAAAAAACTTATCAGGGGTAATATGTAAAATATAAATAAAAAGTTAACACTACCTTTGGATACAACTTACATGGATTTTTAAATTTGCTTATCCAAAAAAGTTTTGCTGATAGGCTATTTCTGCAAGAATACACGAGAAATTGCTTTCCATGGTTGTTTTCTGGGAGGTAAATTCCATGCTTTGTGATGGTCCACAGCACACTCTTTTGTTTAAAACAAAAGCATTTCCCTGATTTTACCACTTAAAACCAAACAACAATGACAAAACATTTTTCAGAATGCTGTGTGATCATGGGAATTTCAGCATTTCCCCATTCATTTAATCAATTTACTTAACATGATATTAGCATGTGAACTATTTGGTAAGAATAAAAACTTAAAAAATATAGACTAATATGTATTTCATCTCTAATTTAAGTCTCATAATACTGTTGAGGAAGTTAAAGAACCATTATGGATTTATAAATATTTGTCACTGCTTGTAACTAGATGATTTCACAGGCAAGAAGTTTCCAGGCCAAAATAATTCTGTTTTTTATGATTTGGAACAGACATACATTAATTTATTTAACCAACTTATTTAATTTGAGTGCTTAATTTATTTAACTTAGGCTACATTAATACTTTCACTAACTTATTTCACTAACTGATTTTTGGCCAACCTTTTAAAATTT